CAGAAAATAACACTTTCAGAGAGAACAGCTTATTTGATTTTGCTCAAGTACTTAAGAGGTACCCTTTAAAATATATAAAAACAAGTTCAGATCCTATCAGGATATTAGATTTCCAGCAAGAAGAAATAGCCCATTCCTTTATAAGCTCACAGACAATTAGGCAGGAACACAATGGAAATCCTTTCTAAAAGATAATGGGAAAAAAGAGCAGCCAGACATACCAAAACAGAGCTACTTGATAACCCATAGCCAAAACAAATTATTGTCAAAATATCAGAAATGGATACTTCGGCTGGAAGATTACCAAGAATCTAGTACAGCAGCTAAGAAGGAAGATTGAATAGCGCATTCTTTGACATTAAAAAAATTCTTACATTACAAAAGACCTGAAAACTCTGAAGTACACCTCCATGTTAAAGAAATAAGTTGGGACTAGTATGATAAGCCTAACAAAGCCACAGTTAAGCTCAGAGGGGAGCCTGCTGTGGGAAATGAGGGTGCATTCTCTATACTAGCTCAGTGTGTGTCACACGCTGGGGAAGATCTCCAGCTGCATAAGGAATTAATAAGTCAGTGTTCAGAGTTCTGATTTTCCCCCAAAAGACAAACTGCAGAAAGACCTGCAACTCCAAGGCTCCCCAGCAACACTGATGACTGAGGAAAGGAAATATATCTGAAATAGTAGCTATAAAGTGTAGTCTTGATCATAAGACTATGGCAATACAGTCTGAACAACAAGCTGATTTCACAGAAATACAGAAACACTGGAGGTTGAAGGGACCTCTGGAGATCGTCTAGTCTAAATCCCCTGCTCAAAGCAGGGTCCATTAGAGCAGGTTGCCCAGGATCCTGTCCAGACAGCTTTACAGTATCTCCAAGGATGGAGACTCAGCAACCTCTTTGGACAACCCGTTCTACTGTTTGACAGTCTTCAGATTAAAAAAAAACAAACAAACAAAAAAACCAAAAACCTTTTTCTCATTTTTAAGTGGGATTTCCTATATTTCAATTTGTGCCCATTGCCTCTTGTCCTTTCACTGCATACTATTGAGAAGAATCTATCTCTGTCTTTTTAAACCCCTCCCATCAGGTATATATACACATTGATAAGAACGTCCCTGAGCCACCTCTTCTCCAGTCTAAACAGTCCCAGCTCTCTTAGCCTCTCATGTCAGGTGCTTCAATCATCTTTGTGGCCCTTTGCTCCAATATGTCCGCATCTTTCCTTTACTGGGGAGCCCAGCACCGGACACAGCACTCCACGTGCAGTCTCACCAGTGCTAAGCAGTGAGAAAGGATCACCTCCCTCGACATGTTGGCAACGCTCATCTTAATGCAACCCAGGTTGCTGTTGGCTTTTTTTTTTTTTTTTTTTAAACCACCACAAGGGCACATTGCTGGCTCATTTTTCCACTTCTCATCCACCAGGACTCCAAGGTCTTTTTCTTCAAATCCTGTGCTGCTGGATGGGGTTATTCCTCCTCAGGTACAGGACTTTGCATTTCCTTTTGTTGAACTTCATGAAGTTCCTCTCCGCACATTTCTCCAGCCTGTTGAGATCTCTCTGAATGGCAGCACAACCATCTGGTCTGTCAACCACTCCTCTCAGTTTGGTATCATTTGCAAACTTCCTGAGGGTACTCTGTCTCATCATCCAGGTCATTAATGAAGATGTTAAACAGTAATGGCGTCAGCATTGACCTTCTTGCACTAACCTTAAACCACAGATAATTACTCTGCGTCTTAGTGAAAAAACAAGATGTTCCTAATAATAGTCCTGATAAAGAGCAACTATATCAGTAATTGGAATTTGAGAGAAAGTCTTCCCACCTCTAGTGGTACAGGTCACTTGCACTGCCGAGAGACTCTCCAAACGGGAAGCCACTGAGATTAAAAAGCCTTGCTCTTAACTGTGTGCTGGTGAGGGAAGGCTCTTGGTGTTAGGTCTTTCCCTTCTGTGAAGGAACGCTCATCATCAGGCTGTACCAGAAACGAGCAGCAGTGTAAAACTAAAGAACAGCATTCTCTGGAAATTACTATTAGGCAGAAGGAGAACTGTGATGACTTTATCCTGTGCTTCACAGAGCTCCTAAATTGGGAGGGAGAGACCAAATTCAGCAGCACTGAAGCAGCCATTACAGAAGCCTGCCAAAAACGTTGGTACTGTGTCCATCATGCCAAGACAGCAAGCTTAAAGAAGTGTTTAGAATTCAGTCGTACTAGGATTTCTTAGGTAGGCTTTTGACCCAGCTAGTTGAAGCTAAAATTGAGCCTGCTTACACTGTAAAAACATAAGCTGGCTTATATCTTGTGGAATTTGAGCGCTGGTATCCTTGGACACATGGATTCAGTGCTGCTTGGAGCACCCCAACGAGAAAGTTCTATCTTTCACAGTGCTGGTATTTACAAGCTCAAATAGTGAACGATCTGCAGTATCCAGCACCAGGAGGGAATGCTGTCTCACCATACCAATAAAGGCACTCAAGGCCCATAAAACAGCTGGTGTGCATTTTAATACGGAAATGGAAAGAGATTTGCATTGCCAACATTGATGCCTCAGGCAGACTAGAAAGATAAGCAAATCAAAAGCCACAGCTAGCCTTATGTTTATAGAAATGAAAACAGTTTACCCGAGTCAGACCAAAATAATACCAGAGAAAGGAATACTTTTGATCAGTTAGGGATTAAAGGTATACTTTAACCTCTAATCTGTCTTCAGTAGAAGCACAGTGTAAGAATTACTCATGTGCACAAATCAGAAGTCTCCACCCCAATCATTTTATACTCACAACCACCTGAAGGGCAAACAAACATGAACAAAATCAAGCTACGGACAAAGCCTGAGGAAAGATCCAGCATCCAGTTCCCTTGTTTCTGGGGAAACTGCTTACATTACTTAATTTTTGTGGAGTAGGTAAGTTATCCTTGGAAGAGCATGGGTCAATCAGGATTCTGACAGGAAAGAAAACAATACAATTTAGATGGCATATCCAGGAGGTACACCAAGAGCTGCTACCTCTTTCCAAGAAACTTAAAACATTCATTAAGTCAATCTGGATCTGACCTATGCTTTACTTAAAATGTTTGTGAATAAGAGTCAATTGCTGAAGCCAGTTGCTGTGTTCATATCAGAAGCTGTTTCCTCCTCTTTAGCGTCTCAGAGTGATAAACGTAGCTTCCTTTTCAAATCTGTAGTCATGTCACTATGAAGATTTTTTTGGTAAAGGGGAAAGGGTAAATAAAGAAATTATCTGAAAATATTATGGAATAAACACTTAAAATGCTAACTAATTGAATTATCTCAACTAATTACAGTCTTCCACCAACACACTCTTTATCAAAACAATAAGCACTTCATTTAGATGAAAGCAGAAGGCAGCCTCTGATGATCACGTATGGTATTTTAAAGGAAATTTATTTTCTAACGACAGTGCTGCTTTGCTACTAATCTTTCATTCCCTAGCTTTGCTTAACGCTTCTGACCCTGACAACTGAAACTAAAAGTACCTGAAGGACAGGAGACCCAACCATCCTTATCACTAAATAACATTGGTATTCGTACATCACGACCATTACTTGTTCTCCTCTTGCTCAAAATCTTTTTAGAATTGCTTCAGCGCAGGATCCGTGTTTGCAAATAAACTAACCTGGTATCGATCGCATTTACAAAAGAAAAAGAGCAAGAAGCCATAAGACATGCATAAACATAGATGATGAGAGTATCTGTGGACAATTTGGGTAATGGTATATTGTGTACATATTTTATGTGTGCACTCTGAAAAGCTTGTCCAAAGCATAGAAAAAGATAGGAAAATATACTTTAAAGAGGAAAAGTGCTACATAATATTAGAAAAAAGGATGGCATCAAATTTTAGGGGGCTAGAGTTACAGTGGCAAAAGGTACCCTTGGATTTTGGCTATGCCCATACCATTCATTTTTCTCTCCCAGAACTTGCACCAGTTCTCAGGTTTTCATTGCATATTCTCTCTGCTCTCCCGAAACTTCTATTTTTCACATCCTTTCCCTCTTCTTCCTAGTTTGAGGCTGTGCAAGTTCTCACATTTTCCATGCACGTTTGCTAAGAGATTTGTGTTCTCAGTGTCGCCCCCCCCATACACACTTATCCGTTTCTTCCTTTTTTGTGTTTTTTCTTCTGATGCTTTTTCTGTACTTTTTGATATCTGTTTTTAATATTTCTAATATTTCAAAGACTATATTTTACAGTGAGACTTAAGAAAAACTCATCTTTTCTTCTTGGGAAGTTTCTTCCCTTCTGCTATTCCATAGCATCATCTTTTGGAAGAGGGAATGAATAAATTGCATAAATTATGTTATGCATTTTTCAGGCTGCCAATCTTTTCATTCCAACTGTTAATGTTTTTTCAAACTTTTATGTATATATTTTGGAGAGCCTATGTTTTTCTACCTCTTTTCCTTGTTTTTCTTCCAGTTTTCTTAAATTCTTTAGGATATGTCGGTTATTTTTTCAAGTGTTGCATACATGAATTGTCTGTTTAGCTGCATCCCTATTTTATTCTATATTATTTTAGGTATATTGGTTAACATTTCTTTCGTGTGGGGGATAGCACAGCATGTCATCTGACATCATTTGCTAGAGTACTAGAACCCCAACGTGGCTCACCTGAAACAGTTGTGTTCCCTCTGGCCTAATGAAAATATAGCAATTTTGTGCAAAGTAAACCAATGAAAAGAGAAAGACAGTGCACAGAATTCTGAGCATGTCAGAACACGCTACCGGATTAGCTCCTACCAATGCCACAAAGACCCATCCGGTGGAATCAATAGCGCTTATGCAGGAACTGGGCACATTTCTGCTCATTGGAAGTGGAGCTCTGGCTTGGTCAGTTGCAGACATCACAGCATTAAGAACTTTCACGAGGTCCAGGGGCTTTTTGGACAGGCTTAAGCAGCAACTGATGAGGTGTTCTGGAAATCTAATTTCTACATTTAAGCTGTTCCTACAAAAAAAAAACAATTTGACTCAAACCACATCCATCATAAAGTAACTAAATTGCCAGACTCAATTAGAACAGGAGTGTGCAAAACCATGCAGTTGCTCTCATACAATACAGTATGTAACTTCGTACTTTAACAGAAAAGGCACAGAGGCTCCTATACCTGTATACTGCAGAGGTTCCCAATTCAAGTAACAACAGAAAGAACAAGAAAAAAACCCAAAAACCTTCAATAAACTTATTTTCACTTAGCTACTGCTTTATGTAACTCCATTTTCTTTAGTTCAGTGACTCTCAAATATTTATTTCAGACACCTTAAAATTTTCCAATGGAAGGACTTGACTATCTATAGCAAATATACACCGACTGAGAGTAGGCTTGCTTTTTAAATTACTTTTGTGAATTCCTCAGAAGCTACCCACAAAGTTCAGATCGAAAACCATCAATTTAGTGCCTCTGACCTTGTGAGGACCTCTGTTCACCTCAAAGCTTTATGCCACAAGATCTATATGGGTCTTCAAAAACTTATTTAAAAAAAAAACAGCAAGTTTTTTTTTACAGTAAGTTGAAAAACAACCTTACACATTTAACACAGTAGGTTTTTCTTAATTTTTTTTAAACCAAAACCAGAAGTTTACTGGATTGTATTATGATTTTTCATGGACCACACAGCAAAAACATCTGTCCAACATTTCAACCAAAGCCTCTAATAGAAAACCTCTCTTTATACTAAGGAAGAGCATTCAGCAAAAATCCCACCTGAACAAATAACCGAAATCCAGAGAACTGCTGACTGGATAAAAAGCCTATATTCATTTGCCAAGTGATGAATTATAATAATAATAATGTAAAATTAAGTCCTTAAAACTACTAAATAGTCAGAATTATTGTAGACTGAGGCTATTTTCAATCTACATGCCGTAGAGGTGGATATGTTTTTATTTCATTTACTGGACACAAAACTCATGCTATGTCAGCATACAGAATGCTAAATAAATCACGTGGGTTAGTTAAATACATGTTAAAATGTCAGGAAAAAAAAAAAAAGGACATTCCTATGACACAGTCTGCCTGCACGGTTAGCTGGAAAAAAAGGAAAACAGTTTACTGAAAATGAAACGAAATACGAGTCTTAAGTGCTTTTATGAAGGTAAACAGTCAGACTGTAAAAAGCACACGAAAAATAGAAGTAAATCAAAGAACCATGGGTAAAAAAACACAAATGCATGGCTTTTTAGAAGAGAGAATTCAGAGAAAAGAGAATGAGGAAAAAATGGTAATTATCCATGTAAGAACATCCACAGTCAAGCATACAAGGATGAATAGAAAGATTATCGTATAAAGAAGAATAGTTGAAATTAATTATGTAGTTTTGACAGTCAAGGGTGACTTCTAGCAGTTAGCTTTAGAACCTTAGAGGGAGAGCACTTTTTAGTTTATTTTTTAAATCAACAATTCAAAAACTTCTATGGGTAAAACCAGAGATTACTTCTAAAAAAACATTTTAAAATTTATATTACAAAGCATTATATTTACATTATAAAACTAGAGACATGTAAATTTTGGAAGTGTAGAAGAAAACTAATTCAGTCAAAACAGTATTTATCGACATTACTTCTGGTGTTAGGCTGCACTCTTTGATCAATTTGAAGGATTCATGTTCCTTCTTGAATAATTCTTCAATATTTGTAAGTCATCATGAAAAATGAAACTACAGAAGCTTGACTTGATCTATCAAGAATTACTGGTCAAAGCACCACATTGCAGATGACTCAACTAACTTGATCAAGATCTTTTGCCTCTTTTCTCTCTTTATCATCTTTCAGGGAAGGACTCTTGGCTTAATTAGCTAATTTTCCCTTCATATGGTCTTTTTCAACAGGAAAAATTTCAGACTTTTTTGTCTCAGGTTCCAGTTTTACAGCTTTGGAACATTAAAGTAAATCCAGACATTTTAGATAGCTACTGTAGCCCAGTTCTGCCACAGTGTAATTATTTATAAATCTTAAGTCAGGGTGGAAAGTGTTTACTCTAATTGTATAACAACTTCCACGTTACACTGTAGTGAAATGATAGTCCATATAAACAAAAGACAGAAAGGTTATAAAACACTGCTTACCAGTAACCAGTGTTCTTCAATACATAGAGTTTCCATGTTTATACTTCTGCCTTGCCCTGTGAGGCTCAAGCAATTTTCCTTTGCAGTCTCCAGAGCAGATACCTTTGCCCCTTTCTTCTACTTTGTATACAGTGTAAGGAGAAAAACTCTACCGCTCCTTTTCAATTCCTCAGTGCAGATTTATACTTTAAACACTCCTCCTTGCCCTCCCCCCAAAAGAGCTAGGTACAAGTGTAAACGTAGACTACCCACTCCAGAGAACACCTAACCTCTTCAAGTCAGATACCAAATACTGTAGCCCAGCAAATACAACCCTGCAATGACGAGTAAAATGTCACAGGCTTTGTATTGACCTGACAGATTAAGGTCTGAGCACTTCTCCTGGTCCAGGCTAATTTTACAAACATAACAGCTGCCTAGCAGTTGCCCACTTTTACTTGACTTGTTTGAGCTTAGCAGTATAGATATCACATATGCAAAGACGTGACAAACTCACGTGGTCACTGCATAACAAATAGCCTCTATATTAACTGGGGCTGTAGGAGAATTTTGACGAACTGTTAATGGATGAAGATAGCCAAACTTCAGCTGGGAATCAATGAAAAGACCAAGTAAGCGGACTGTTACAAGATAAAACTAAATCCAAAGACCTCCAAGATGGAGGAAGAAACCCTCTACCATCAACATTATAAAACTTCAAAACAACGTAGGTTGGAAGAAACCTTGGAAAATCACCTAGGCCAAATCTCTAAAGCAAGGCCACCTCAGAGCAGGCTGCTCATGGCCTTGTAAAGTTCCTAATACCTCCAGAGACAGAGGTCCCAGAGCCTCAACGGGCAACTTTTTCCAATGTTCCACTATTCTAACAGTGAAAACATTTTCCCTAGCGCCTAATCAAAATTTCACCTCCTGTCTTATCACCACAGACCTCCAGAGCCTGGTTCTTTTCCCTGCACCATCCTAGTAGGTACAGCAGAAAGACAACTAAGATTTCTTGCCCACCTCCCAGCCTTCTCTTTAAGGCTGAAGAAACCCAGTTCTCTCAGCCTCCCCCTGAGCACCACGTGCTCCAGCTCCCTGCCCCTCTTGGCAGCCCTCCACTGGACTCACTCCAGAATGTCAAGGTCTCTTTTGTAGCGGGGAGCCCAAAACAGGACACGGTACCTTGAGATGCACATTTACAAGTGCTAAAGAGAGGGAACAAACACCTCCCTTACCTGCTAACATGACCCAATAAAGGGTTGGCCTTGACTGCTGCTGCTGGCTCACATTCAACCTGTTGTTCAGCCAGGATCCCCAGGTCCTTTTCTAGAAAGGTGCTTTCCACTAGTTGGTGCCCTATCCGTACTACTGCACAGGTTACTCTATCTCAGGTGCAGGACTGTTAGTCTTCCCTTGCTGAACTTCATGAGGCTGACAGGAAGAGCTTGCAACACTTGCGCAGAAAAGCCATGCAGCGATGCCATGAGTTTAGGAGATCTCACCAGATGATACAGCTCAGAAAAGCTAAAGGGGAAAAGGCTTGACTGAGGACCTCCTTGGCAATCCCACAATAAATTTACATCAGGTCTAATCAAATTTAAGCAAACTAGCCAGACCAACTGCCTCTGGAATCAGAGAAGGCCTTCATGACACATCCAAGCAAGCAGCTCTCACATATACTTTATCCAAGGTTTGAGCAAACTAAGTAGTAACACTGGACTGTCACGTAGCTGACTTTTGAGACCTTTTCTAAATCAGAGATATTAAGAAAAATTAGTCACTTGCAAAGGCTTATACCAGTAAGAGTTCTTAAGAGCTCATTTTTGGAGTTTTGTCTTCACACAAGTTAAATAAAAACACATTAATATAACCAAGGACTGCACTCGTGCTAGCGAAAAATGACTTGTTATATCCTTAAAATGCAAATATTCAAAGCTAAACTGTAACGCAAACTGAAATGCGTTGGTTTACTATTTGATATATGCAGCCCTTGGCCAAACAAGGGCAGCATTACGCTCGCTGGGCTTAAATGGTGAAGACAGTTGGGAACCACTGCTCATTTGAGGAACTGCTTGCACATCACTTAACACCAATAACGAATGCTAAGTAGGACCAGAAAGATTATACATGTTAAGTAAGCCAAACAGAACTTTTTAACTGCTATATGCTCTGCTTAACAGTAGTGACTTTTTTTTACCTTATTTTCAAAACTGAAGTTCTCTACTTCTAGAAAGCTTTCTCATAAAGGACTTTTATGCATTTAGTAAAAACTAACTACATAAAGCAGCTACATTACATAAAGTCCTTTAACTACGTGTTTCACTATTTTTTTTATTATTTTTCCCTTCCAGTAATCAGTAACATACCTCAGTGTTACTTTATAACTCCAGGACATATACATACATATTCACTATTTAGTATTAATATTATCTTCTAGGAGATGAAGTCAAACCTGAAATTTCAAAACAAAACAAATCAGACGTTCAGAATTCTGTCTTTGGTGTAATTTCCAATCATTTCGTTTCACATCCATTAGACGCTTTCAAATCATAGGCCCACACAGTATCTATTCCCTCTCCAGTGGTATGATCTGGGATCCAGCAAGGGAAAGGAAAACGACAGGCAATGATTCTGGCATTACACTTGAGTTCTTCTTCTAGCTTCTTCTCCAACTGTGGCATCTGTGGAGCAACATCAAAAGGCTTTCAGAAGCAGTACAACACAAAAGCACTCTCCTTAGAATCCAATTCAAGCATTCAAGACAAGTCCAACATTTGAAGAAGTTTTAAAAATGATTTTAGGACAATTTTCATGATATATATTCTGGCTTTGCTGGATTGACAAGGAACATCTAAAGCTAGAAAATGGCTGCTCTATTCTGAACTGTGAGATCAAAAATTCTTACCTAATCCTTTTAAAAATTGCATCAGGAATAGTAGGTAAACCCCTAGCTTAAAAAACAAAACAAAAAACCACACACAGAGAAGTTAAGGAAAGACTTTGCAAGTTCCAATTCATAATTTTCCCTATTGGAATTCTTCGGAGAAAGAGAAAGAATTTAGCCCCATGAATTTATACTTTTTTACTTCACCACAAGTCGTATGAACCACTGTGAGATACTCAAAAGCCAATGTCTTTCGCGATTTCTAGTTTACCCCACGGCAGATCTCGGGACACGCAAAATCTCGTATGGCCAACCCCAAACAAACTGCTTGGTGCTACTGAATGATGAAGTATGTGTTAATACTACAGAATTTGAGCTTTGTTGACTCCAGTCTGCTAACATACACACCTAAGTCACGGCAGCGGTACTGTATGAACAGCACGTACCACTACACAGTTCTGCTTGGTTGAAGACCTACTTAGCCTAGTTTCCTCTATCTACAAAGTTAAGGAGAGTGGGGGTTGGGGGGAGGAAATACCACTACTCTGCCAGCATAGAGCAACACCCTGCCCAGTCAGATACTCTGTCTCCAATAAATACTTGGAAAATTTTGGTATAGATTAAGTGAAAAATGAACACACGCAGATTTCAAAGGAATTTCTTTCAAACCACAGAGAGTGATCGTGCTCTGAAAAATGAAGCTTGATAGATTTTAGTCATGTTTGTCCTTTGGAAAAGATTGATACTATGCTTAAGCAGATCAGTGCACATCCATTAGGAGTTCCTTTTATTCTACACGTGGTATTAGGGAGTAATTATGGCAGCAAGCTTCTGCAAGTTACTTCTAATATATGTAAAAATTATTTGCTTTGATATCATGGCATAACCTTTAGATATTAAAAGGATAAGATATGAGCAATTATTTGCAAATACAGTTTAATTTAAGTCAGGAAGCACACAATTTAAAATAAAAAAAATGCAAACCAAAAAGTACAGAACATACCAGAAAATAAGACTGACTAAAGAAAACATTTCCAAAGGCTGGACATAGCTTCCACTATCACAGACATGCAGGGTGTACCTTTAATGAAACATCTTACCATTGCTAAATTTAAGCTTAAAATAAATTATTTCAGGAAAATGATATTCATAGATCTAATAGACAAAAGTTACATCTGAACGTATACATATTCCAAGTATTCTGTGCTCCAATTTTGTCCACACAGCAAACGTTTTTAAACATTTTTGCTACTGTACCTTAAATAAACTAGAAAAATCGGACCACTTTGGCATCTCGGAATAAGAGATCACAAAACAAGACCACTTTGGTATCTCAAACTGACATCAGACAAGGAAGAACTCAGTTGTTATGGAAATGGATACAGTTCATAAATATGGACCTAGCTTAATTTTTAATCAATAATTATGAAGACTGGTGATGTCTCATGTCTCTATTAGCTCAAATTAGAAAAGTTTATTAATAGTTCAGCCAAGAGGTGCTGTATCCTTGAACTAAAGTCAAAGAAGGTCTTAACCTAAATCTCTTAGTAACATTAGCTGTTGTAATGGTACTGTATTTTATATCAGACTTTTTTCAATGTTTACTAGACAGAAAATTTTGCAGACCTTTTGTACAGTACTTATATAGTTAAAATACAACAGAAGTTGCAAACATCAACACATGTTAAGAAAAGTCATCCCACTCGGAACAAAAAAAAATTCTCTCTTCAGTGACTCAAACACACCTCCCCCGGATGCTTGCAAGATCAGAGAGGTCTTGCAGTCGTCTTTGAAGATCAATAAATGCAAGCTCTGTAAGCTAATCTCGGATGTGAAATAAAAGCAGTGTGACAGCATCATCTCAGACCAGTATTATTAAATAAGCTAAAGAGATCTATTGCCCTCAGTAACAGAGAAAATGCATTAAAACTTCTAGAAAATCAATTTAATCACTCAGGAGGCTAAGCACCCACAACTGCCAAGGCAAATTTAAAGAGGATTACGAGCAAATTTAATTCTCATGAAACATAGTAGTTCATATGTTTGCGTCTATTACACTTATGAGAGTGTATTTTTTAAACGGAAGAATCTAACCTAGTATTTACTGAATTTACTCAAGTAAAGTTATTTTGAGATCTGTAGCTGCTCCTTCTATCCTATCAAGCCCCATAACAGTTACTAATTTACTCCACTTCAGGCTACTAATTTTAAGTTTACACAGCAGGTCTACTAAGCTTGCTCACGTTTTCCCAGGGCATTTACTTCTGCTTTACTGGATTGTCTTTCTTCATCTACATTCTTGCCCTCAGTACAGTTGCAGAATTTCTGACTGCAAATTCATATCTTGATCTTCAAATGAATCAGTGAGCAAATCCAAAATCACTCATTACAGCAAAGGTGCTCCAAATCCCCTCAGATTAACTGTTTCAAAAGACAACTACTGCACAACTGCAGACAACCACATATTCCATACTTTTATTAAGAAATATCCCAGTGATACAAACTTTGAAAATATCGCCCCCCCTCCTGGAAGTCCAACTAAAGAACACACGATAGGCAACACTTGGGAATACTTATAGTACAGCTAGCATAATAGTTCTTGCTAATATGCCAGCTACACAAATATTAAAAAATATATATATGCATTCGACTTCAGTTTTCAATTTGAGTTATAATTTGAATCTTAAGTATTTATTTCCACTGCTATTAAGGAAAAAACACAAGAGTAGGGAAGCATTATTACATTTCTCATTGCACCTTCCTGTTTTTACTAGAGAAACATTATCAGACCAAACAGAACGGTATAGTATTGCATAAAGCTCTTCATTTCATTCCACAAAGACATCTGCCTTTAGATGGAAAGGAGCAATACAAAAATAGATATATCTGCATTTCATTCCTCCATATGCATTCAAATTACATACAAGGCTCTAGGAATAATTTGAAACATCAAGAAAATTTAACTAAAATGTTCCTTTTTCTCTTTTCCTTCTAGTAGAAAGAAAAAAGAAAATCAGATAAAGCGGAAAGCCAGGATGAATGTAAAACCTGACTAAATGTGTCTATTACACCACAGAAGCAGTCTTTAGGCAACACAATTTCCAGAGCAATTTTGAACAATGCATTTTCACAAGGGACATGACAAACATCAGACACAAAGTCTTCCCAAAAAGCAAAGGATTTGTGTACTTGTATTCTACCAATTTTATTAGAAGTATTTCTCTCCCTTCCTAACCCCTCCTAATCTATCACACGCAAGAAAGGATTATTTTAATATCTCAGCTGCTAGACTGTTGGAGGTGATTCAGATTCTGGAGAAGAATTTAAGTGAAGTTCAATATTTCTTTCACTAAAAAGTTCAGAGAAATCAGCTGTCGCCAATTTCCCACTCTATCCTCCCCCTGAAAAGTTCTCATTTTTTCAGTATGAAAAAACAAATTTTTTAGGAACCAATCACCTTTCCCAAGCAACTAAAGACAAGTACAGTAGTTTCACTCCGATTCTGAATTTCATTAAAATTCAGGCCTCCTGGATAATAAATACATCTCAAATGCATACTAATGGTTTTAGAGCTCCACTCTCAATCCTGCTACAAGCTGTACCGGTTTCATCATGAACATTAGTAGGCAACAATGGAATATATCAAAATATTAGCAACTACCTTTGACATTCTGTAGGTTGATTCATTTTTTTTAAAATTAGTCTACTAACACTGAATGCCTTGATATTAAAGCAGTTAGATAATGGAAAAAAAAAGTAAAACTCACCATTTGAGGTACCCCAAAGACAACAACATTCGTGTAATGAGAAAAAGAAACCTATAAAAAAAAAGTGAGTGTAAGTCTTTTAAGACAATTGGCATATATAATAACTGGAAGATTTGGTACCATTCTTTCCTAAAGGCTTTTAGCTACATTCCTTTCAAACTAATCCTTGGGCTTAAGACCAAAAACAAGAAAGGAGATCCCATATCATGTCAGCATCACAAATTCCCCTATGCAAGACACCTTACATTGCTGAGTAGCAGAAAGCTTTTACTAGCTGGTCAAAAATCTGGCATGAATTCCAGTAGCGCACATGCAAAAAAATCAATTCAGACACACACTCCCCAATTCAGAAGATACCTACATGGTTTTACTTATGGCTAAGTTTCTTTTACAACCCTCACATACGTTAAAATGAGGAATGTTTTAGGATTACTCCCCTTTTGTTAAGGGCCGGCTAGACTTCAAACTTCCTAGATGTTCCAATGGCTAGGTTATCCCTAGTTCTGTCAGAAGTTTTCCATGCTTGTCTCTGAACAAAGATTAGAAACAGTATATTCACACTCCGCCTGCCAAGTTTCTCGTATCCACTTTCTTGTATCCACGTTGCCCATTACAATGTGTCAGTGTTTTAAAAAACAAAACAAAACAAAACAAAAACCCTTCAATAGAACTAGCAGGGCAGAGCCAGGCACAAATACAACAGAAAAATAGTCTCATCAAAGCAGCAGTTTGATTGAAATGAGTGAACACGTATGTCAAAAAAATGTTACATGTATGCAATAGTGATCTTAAAGCAATTCTCAAAAATTAAGAGTTGCACAGTTACAAAAGAACACACATTTAATGAAACGTCAAATGAGACCATGATCTTGCACATTAGCACGAGGTGAATAAAAGAGTCTTGTTACTGACTTCAAAGAATCAGCTTTCAGTGAAGCTAGATACTAAAGTGACCCACATCATTCACCAAACAGAAAGGCACGAAGTAGTATGCGCAAGACGCCTTTGCCATACTGAGAGCAGTCTCTAAGGACAGCACGTGTCACTGAAGCACAAAACCAACAAAGCTGCTTATTGTGCTGTGAGCCTACTTTCTGCGGATGTTAAGTACTTTACTCAAGGCCCAAGGAAGCAAGTATCTGGTGGCTGAACGCATTCTAGTGGTTTTAGGGAATTATCTCCGAATTAGAGAAAACTCCATACTCTCCTCACAAATCCCAATTTCATTTATTCTTACGCGTTTCACCACCTACCTTCCATAAGTCTGAAATATAAAATTTGGTGTTCCGATGTACCCCATCTCTCCAGGCACGGTATCTGGAGTACCAGACTAACCAGGGATTTAATTCATAACCAACAGCTTTGAACCCCCTTTTTGCAGCAGCTATTACCTACAAAAAAAAATAAAGAAAACCTTCATTCTAGAAGGGAAGGAATGCTAAAAGATGTATTAGTCTCAACAGGATAAAGAAGATAATTTTATTTACAATAGAAATCAACAAAATGCACTTTGCAAGACACACACAGATTTGCATTCCAGACACACTGGTAGTACAAAATCATGAACAAAAGCTCATACAAACTGCATTTTACTACTCTGACTAGTCATATTGAAATTAATAGATTTATTCAAAGGAACAAAACAAACCACTTAAATCTGCACAGGACTAAGCTGTAAACTTGCAGTATGTCTGTAATTTATACAAAAGTTAAATTTAACATACTCATGACATTACCTTGCAGATGATCATTGAGACAATCAAAGCACACAAGCAGAAACGCCTAGACATTCAAAATGAAAGGACCTGGCTTATTTCAAACACATTACCAGGTAGGCATTTGAGATACCTCTGATTCAGAGGCAAAATGACCTACTAATAGATAGAGTATGAAAATAAACAGTTGACCTACCTAAAAATAAATATATCACAATAGAGCTTTCTTCTAATGCTACACTTCATATATACTTTTAAATAGCAACAGGTAATTCAGATAATACAAGTTGATTTTCAAATGCACCCATTTAAATTAAGATCCTGGTATTTAGAATTGTTAACCTGTACAGCAACTGCCTCCCAGCTACAGATTAATATCCGATTATTTTTCAGAACTTTTTCAATGAAAACACAAAACAAAAAGGCACAAGTTAGTAGAAACATTAAAATCTAGCTTTAAGTCATTTGAAAGGTTACTGTCAAGTATCATTCAGGAAAAGTATGACTAATTACGAATTACAGAATAGGTAAGGTAGAGTCAAGGAGGAAGTAAATATTTCTTAATAAAATTTGCAGACAGTATCTATGGCACAGTGTGTTTCACATTAATTATTAGGAAAAGGGCTTTTTCCATCATGCACTCAGCCTTTGTAAACATGCTAGAAAAATCCGACATTTTGACCATGTTTGTAAATAAAGATATGTTTGCATTTACTTACAGATTATACCTGAAAAAGCACTAAACATTCAAAAGTATCAGAACACAAAACTCAACTTAATTTGAGGACAAACACTCAAGGGCAACACGAAGCATCACTGCATGCAATTTTAAGCACCTGGCTCTCAAGAGTAGCGTTCAGTCTGCATTTAGTCACCCATATATAAAATCAGTACCTAGTCAAAACCAGGTGGGTCAGGTACTTGAGCTCAATCACAGAACAGCTTGCTTTACTTGGAAGAAAGCCTTAATATTTCTGCATAAAAACTGACATTGAGAAACAGCTGCTGTAATACTGAAAATATATGAGCCCAGCAAAACTGTCTCTGCTATATCATTTTCACATGGAAGCATCCTTCAGCTAAGTTCTGTACTGAAAGTCTGATCACGCCCAGTACAGAAGCCTTTCCATACCTCCAGTAATTCTCATTCCTCTTTAAAATGATTCTCATTTTACTATACCCACTTTAAAATGAGGCAGCCTGCACTGCACAAAGCACATAAGGTATGAAAACTACAGTTTTAAGGATAGAGTTATTTTTCTTTTCTAACCCATTGTTTGTTTCTCACTCTCTTATGCTTTTATCACCTTTATGCAACAAGCACAGAGCAGCAGCTCCAGAAGTTGCCTGGCATGATGTCTCCCCGCACTGTTTCAAGCTCTGTTTAAACCTGCAGCCTTACATACTGCGGCTACAAAAACACACGGAACCACAGCTCTTAAGGAGCTAGTACTTTGAGCACACCTTTCTAGGTGAATGCACACTGTACAGTCCCCTCCAACCAAGAGGATGAGGTTAGGGTTTTGCACGATACCTTGTCAAGCTGAAGGCAAGCCTGGGACAAAAACATTCACTGCTTACGCTAATCAGATATAAACTTGTCTTGGCTTTGCGCATTTACATAATATTAAATGCCAGAGACAAGACATTCATAAATACGAGAAGACACACTACACTATAGAAACCCTTTGCCCCTCTTTTGGGGGATTATATAGAAGGAAGCTGATCTCCATAACTTACAACACGGCCATCCCCACTCCCAATGTCAACCAGGGGGCCGCTTCTGTTCCCTAACATTTTCAGCACGTTGTCAATCTGAGTTGAAGTTGCGGGAACAAAAGGCAGGCAAACTCTTCTCAGCGCTGGCATGACAAACGGGGTGACAACGGCATACAAGGCCACCAAGGTCCCGCCGACGCCACCAGTAACCAGCAGCCCCCAGCTCCTCCTTCTGGAGCTGCCCTCAGAGCCCACGGGCAGGCCTGGCGGGGGGCCCTCCTGCCGCAGCGCTTCCGGCATCGCACCTGAGGACAGACATTACCGAAGAGTATTTCCTCACGCAAATCGCTTTATTATACGTTTGTTTAACAGACAAGGCAGCAGCAGGGCTTATATCCCGTTAACTGATTCTTAGGCCTTACGGAGAAGTTAGGATGCTGCTTTTGAGGAGATGAACTACTAGATTATTTAATAACAATAATTTGGGGGGGGGGGGGAGGGAAGAAGGGCAGTTATTATTGGTGGTTCCCGCCCGGGGCAGGAGCCGTGAAGGGAGC